ATTGTGTTAGTTCTTTTTACATATTTTCTCATATTTATATTCCTCTTCTTCTCATGATTAACGATATCCTCCCATTCTTTATTTCCACAAAATCAGTTAAATGAAATTTAAACAATTTGAGTGAAAATTATGGGATTATAGAAACTACATTTTTTCTACTACTCTGTTAATTATCAATTGAACTGTAGATTTCCATAATACCGTAATTTTCATCACACCAGACTCACAAATGAATACACAACAACAATTTGTATACAATAGTAAAAGAAAAACTCTTCACCCAAATAAAGTAAAATATCAAGTATTATGTTAAAAACCTATTAACAAAAAATACGTACCAAAACAAAAGTAGTAGGGGGCAGAAATCCTTTTTACTATTATAAAAAATCGTCACTGGGAAAATATTTTTTCAATACGCCGTAAAACTCCATTTTATACGTTTCTAATTTTTTTAGAATCATAGGTAGGTAGGTATTTATCGTCTACAGACAGAAGGACGGATGGTGATTTTTATTTTTATTAGTTTTTGAATAGTTATTTGATTTGTTAACGAATTTAAAACTGTGGCAACACACACAAGAAGCAGGACATTTTGAAATAGTTCTGCTAAAAATTTATTTTAATATCAGATGATATTACGTTTGCATCATCCTGCGCCTTTTTCATCCTCAAGACGAACGGATAAGCTAAAAAGTGTTTTTTAAGTCTCACCTGCTGATCATGGATCATCATCAAACAGCACAGTTGTGCAAAGTTGTGCTTAAACACTTGTGTTTGTGCGATACAATAACATTTAATTCGTACTTTTATCAATGGGTTTTGACTGGACGAACACTATTTTTATTATATATAATGCTTACTCCGTAACATAAATTGTATAAACTCTTTATTAAATCTTGCATGTAGCAACCTATAATTAAATAAAACTTAATTTTGCATCATCTGGCGCTCCATTATTCGTTGAAATGTTCGATTCACTTACACAATATTAATCCCCAAAAAACAACGTACAAAACATTAAGATTAAATCATTATTTTAACATATACTGCATATTCTATTTAAGACACACTTATATGTCATATTTTTAAATGTCTTGAAATCACACAAAAAAGCAGATTACAAAACTAGTAGAGGAAACAATGAAAATGAAAATAAGTAAACAAAACATATAGAAATAAAACTGAAATAAACAAAAATTCCGAAAATATCTTAAAAGATGAACTAAAATAAAAACACAGAACTTGGAACTAAATGTGAGACGCAATTGAGAAATTAAGTAAAAACAAATGTATAATGAAAAAAGAAACAATAGAAATAATTGTTTAAGAAATTAGAGATAATGAAATATAAATAGTGTGTCCTAGACAGAATTTAAAGCAAATAAATATGTACTTAGAAATAAATTACAACTTTTTCTAATAAAAATATCAAGCTGCTATTAAAAACGTAATTTTTTGTAAGTGATTGAAATAAATTATGATCCAAGACCTGTAACTAATTAGTTCAAGTATAATTACTTTGTATAATTTAACTTAACAATCACATGAGCTTTTCATTTTTTTACCTGACACTGTAACTACAAAATGTTTCCAAAATAATGGTGCAAAAAGTCACTCTGTAATTGATCTAACTACATATGCAGCAAAATAGCCATAATAAAGGGGCTCGAAAAGAGCAATAAACACTCATTTGTGAGCATAAAGACAACAAAACTATAAATATTAACACAAAAACACTTACTTGTATGAAATAGGGAAATCATCTGTACTAATTAAGCCCAAGGATGGTCGAAATTCAGGATCGTTTGGTTGTCGTGTGGTGCCTTTCATACCACAGACCATCTTATCAGTGTCTGGAATAACTTCTAATACTTCACAGCAAACTGAATCATTCATCATGTAACTGCGTGTTACACCTTTTCGATCAACTGCAGGAATAACATTTGCAACAGAGCAGAAAGCCTAAACGTACAAAAAAAAAGTAATTAAATGAAAAACAAAACTTAAATTAAGCACAAACCTTTACATTTATGTCAGCAACATAACGAGTACTGTTCCCCTTACTAACAGTACACAGCACTTTTAACATCATTCCTGATTGAGTCTTGCTCACGATAGTTCCTAGAATCAAATCTCCAATCTTAACTTTCTGCAACAGATAGAAACCTTAATTAAAATTTTGGCACAACAACAACAACCATGAGTGTAAACACACACATATATATATTTATAAAACAGTTCTTTAACATACCTCAAAGAAATACTTTAATCTGCTTTGTTTGTCAACATTTAGAAATACGGCCCCTAGGAGATAAAGATTTGTTTCATAAAAATTTTTAAATTACTATTCTAACATACTGTAATCCCTTTAATAACGAAATGTGGCTGTTTATCCCCATCAAATCCGACAGAAAACTGATGTTATTAGGATTATTGAAGCCAATGCTCTTCTCTAAAACGGCGTCAAAGCTTTCGCCCTTATGCTCCAGGGCTTTCCTGAAAAAATGAAAAATTTTCTTATGAAAAGGATGAATGTTGAAGTATCGTCACCGACAAAAATGGCACAACTGTAAGATGAATGAATCTTAACAAACTTTCTGACATCAAGGTGTTTGTGAATCTGGGCGAAACATATTAAGTGGAAGGCTGTAAATATTACATGAGAAAAAAATATATAGTATTTTTCAGTTTTGCCAATATACTTGTTTTATGGGCCCTCCAGTTAATACTTGTGTTAAAAGAAAAACTCTTCAGTCCTTAAAAATGCCAAATTGTATTGAGTAAGATCCAGATCAAAAAATCAATCCCCTTCAATTAACTCCTTTCTTCCATGACGATCAACAGTATTGTGCTTCTTTTCACAAATATTTATCTCATTTCAAATATACCTCCAAGTTTCAAGTTTATTGAAAAACCACATCGTTCTTTCACATTTGCTGCATGGATATCAAATAGTTCATTTTCCTCATTGTGTTAGTTCTTTTTACATATTTTCTCATATTTAT